CTACCTTTGAAACTTCTTACAATTTAAATGGTGTTTGATTTGTCATGAAGTGTTTGTTGAATTTTAATTTGCTTGGGCTATATTAGAGCAAATCAAACATGAAAAAACTCAGCAACTGATGCTGTTTAATTCAGTTGCATTAACTGTCAGTAGGTTACAAACTGAAAAATGACTCTGATGATATATGTCTTGAAATGTAGGCTATTGTAGTAATATTTGCTTTTCCTTAATAGAATGCCAGGTTTTCCACGGGACCAGGTGTGGTCAAAAGAACATGACATTCTGCTGTTCAGAGAAGTTCTCTCAGTGAATCCATGTTCTGCAAAAAAATTCCAATATCACAATATCACAAGTGGTGTGCGGTTTTTTGTAACAAAAAGGTCAGCTTCGGGATCACCTCAATATATTAATTAACAGGTACAGGAAGAAGACGAATGCTGAAGAAAGGTCAACTGGAGTGTCACCCGAACCTACAGAATTGGACAAAGCACTGGCAGATATTATTGAAAGGAGGAAGTCGCTTCTATCTCCCAGGAGATTGATGAAGCAGTGATAAAAGAGAAAGAGGACACCGATAAATAGAAAGCTGAAAGTATGAGAAAAATGGCAATGGAGAAGTTAGTTGAAACCCAGAAGAGAGCAGTTGAGGAAGGAGAACAGGAAAACCATATAAAGAAAAAGAGGAGTGGCAATGAAACAATATCATTTCTGCATGAGAAAGCTTCTCTATATAACTGATTGTATATAAATATAAATAAAATTTAAATGATACAGCTATACTTAAACACACTTACCAAAAGGACCGTAAAGATTGGAAATTAGTCCATTTGGAATGGCGATTGATTGAAATTTCAGGGCATGCACCCTTTTGTGCCCATTGTAAACAATTCTTTGATTGGTGTTTGGCAACAAATTGGGCGAACTGTACCATCCACAAAGCCAAAACAACTGTCAAGTGCCGCACCTTTATCTGAAACAGCTTCAGCATATGCCTGTAATGCAAGGTGATTTAAAATAGTGTGATTCCACTCTGATATCCGACGACCATGATGCTCAAATATAAAATCAATGACTGTATTACTTATCATGGAGATTTCAGGGACAGGTCTGCGGAAAATGCTTAAGGTTGCTGCAGCGACAAGGGTTTGCTAGCCGCTTGAGAATGATGCGTAATCCTTCAGTACTGTCACAGATTGTTCCTTGTTTTATTATTTTTTTTGGCGAATGAATACTGAGACATGGTTTGAAATCATCGCAAAATGCGGTTAACCTGAAAAAAACACAGATTGCATTATTGCAAAATGTGGAATTAAAAGTAAAGCCCCATGCTACCACAGGTCGCAGTATTACCGTGCGGGTAATTTTTTTTGGCGGGGGAGTGAAATGGGAAATGGTGCAAAGGCCGGGTTACCCGTGACAATATTGAAATGCCATGGACTCCAGTTGAAAATTCGAGTGAAGGTCAAAGAGGCATTCGGGATTGTAAGGCTGTTGTTTGGTTTATGGAGAAATATTGAAGGTTTGAGAAATCGGGATTCTAGTGTATTTGCACGAAAGTGAAATGAATTCATCTTTCGTAAGCGTATTCTTAGCTTATGAGCTTATCTTTTGTGCGTTTGTACCAGTTTTGTCCACAGTGTACAGTGTCGCATCTGTACATTTTAAGTTTATTTTTGACACATCTTTGGTGTTGAATCCTGACTTGTTTGTATTCATCTTAAAGCATTCCTTTTCAGACGTGATGGGGGATACAAAAGGAAAAAAGATAGGCACCTTATGTTGTCGTGGGCTTAAGCCTCTTGTGATCAGGGGCTATGCCGCCGTGTTCAGTTATTGGTTTAGAACGTTTGGGCACGCCGAACAATACAGCAAAGCCATTATCACAGCTGAAGATGGGTCTCAATGGGTTATCCCAAACGGAAATCCGATGTCTTCGCCTGGTAAGCTATAAAATTACCTTCCTTTTTCGAATTTAATCCAAACTTTTTTTTTAATGTTAAGCCTATCTAAGTATGAATTCCTTGTCACACTTTTGCCTCATGGTCAACTCCTTAACTTTGAATATGTGGTCAAAACATGCAAAATCACCACCCTTCATAAGTACTATATATTTTAATCATTACAAAATACATATACAATAACCTTCTCCCCTTTTCAAATACAAGTCAGAGACTTTAACAGATCTTTTCTTATGGCCAACAACAACAGCTTGTGCAGTCCTGCCTTCCTTTTTTATATTCCCATAGACATATGCGCTTCCTTGTTTGTAATACTGGCAGGACTGAATGACCCAGGATGTCCAGAACTGTCCCTAATTCTCCATTTTCAAATATTTATGGCGGTGTTAAGACGTTACCATAAGAGTTAATTAACAACCTTTGTGCAGTGTGAATATTCAGTTTTCACTAAAACATGAAATAGAAAATTACCTTTGATTGTTTTAGTAGCATTACTTGCTTTTTACTGTTAAAATGTGGGGGGCTGGGGGTGCTTTAGCACCCCCCTCCAGCCTCTCCCCCTGTACAGTCCCTGTAATGCATCATTCAGTTCCAGTTTCACCCATGCACCCTTCCTTGGATGTTACATGTAGCACTATTTTGCATTGGATGGCAAATTCCTGGGACGGGGAAAACTTAACCTGCCGAATGCCCATGGCAGGGATGACAGAAGGGGGCAAATTCCCTGCCCTAATCAACACTGTATCAGTTTTTCACTAATCACACATTTAAATAGTGCCACCCCCACTGTAAGCATTACGACCTGTGAACATTTGTTTCAGTTAGCATCTGCCTTAATTATAGAACTATTTTAATTGAAACTTCTAGCGACAATCCTTATTCTATTGTTATTTATCTTGTTTTTAATACTTTGTTGGTAAAAATAAATTAGCGTCAAAATTAAAGCTATCTGATGTAAACAGTTTAATATTGTGAAAAGGAAGTTCATCAGTAATAGATAGACCATAGTCGTAAATTTGCATCATAACCACTGAATTTAATTCAAATCTTAGTTCAATAGAAATTTAATTGAATAACCAAAATATGTTGCTTCACGATGATAACCCCTGATTTTGCTATGTAAATTGTGGCTTGATAATCAATGAAGAAATGCATGCATGAAAATGCGCCTAAAATAACTTGTACAAGGTTTTCCCGTCCATGAAAGATGAGCCAATCTGGTTAGGAAAGTGAAGTTTTTGTGAATGAATGATTACTGAAGAACTGTTATCAATCATTTACTCTTATGTTGATTATAGTAGTTGATGGTCCAATTTCTTACATTTCCTATTTAAAATTGTTTAAGATTTTTTTAGGCAATCGACTGGATTAGGACTGTTGTTATTTAATGTACGTGTACGTCATCTTTATTGTCATGTCGCTTACTGAGAATAGTCCTCTTAGGACTACAACAAACCAGATTTATCATGCAACAACCTATGACATGACGCCTGAGTGTTCAAACATTAATTTCAGGGTGAATTTATTTCTTGTGTATGCTTAAATGACCACTAGAGGAACTTACTTTGGTCTGATTTTTCTCTAGGCAATAGAATCTCAGGGTTTTACCATCTTACAAGTATGATGCTTGGGTAAACTGTGGCAAATTTATAGCCCTTATAAATTCTCACAATGACGGGATTTTGATTGTATTATTTTCATGCTTGTTACTCAGACCATGAAGCAGCTGGTGAAAAGAGCAAAGAGACCCACTGCTAAGGATATGCGGCATGGGAGAGTGCCTTATGAGCCTAAAAAGACTCCATCCTTTACAATTCAGCAGATGTTGCGTATGTGTGCATACTGCTTAAATACAATCGAGGTAATCATAACTCAAGTTTAAATCCTCTTGACCCTGCTTGTAAATGGCTAACAGGCTGCCTCCTGCTAGTTAGGGTTGTTTTTTTTATTCTGTTATCTACCATTTGCATTACCTGTGTTCTGGTTTAAGGTTGTTTTAAGTGGAAGGATGCCTATAACCTACAATTGGCAACACAATTGTTAAGACATTGTACTAACTAAAGATAGGGTAACTTAAGAGAACAAGAGAGTTCAAAAGCCTCCCCCCTCCCTTCCATTCAAAGTTGGGGTGTTTGATGTTTTCTATAGCTAGTTTGAATAGCGGCACAACATTGTATGGAGGGGATTGGGGAGGAAAAGCTTTATTCTCCCTTTTTAAAGTCGGTAAAAAATCAAAAAGCCCCATTTAGTTGAAGTGTCGCAACTAATTTTGTTACCCATTGTAGCTTGAGTAGCTAATAATACACTGCATTTCCATGTTAAACAAAACATGTATCATTTTACCGCTGATAGATTTTAAAATGATGATGATAAATTAAAGACCTGGCAGTGAGCTGACTCAATTGAATGTGACAAGGATCTCTTTCAGCAGAGAGCGAGGTTCATGTTATCCCATTTTTTTCCCTCTTGGAAAATTCTGTTTTTCATTTGGTGAGCCAAAGATCTTACTGAAGAAGAACCACAATATAACAAATGGCAATTAGGATGTGTATTAAAATAGTTTTCACGTCTAGTTTAAAAGAGTTTTATAAAGGTTGGTCATATTCATATATTTCACTATTGTTTGAGCAAGGAATATTGAGGACTTATGTAGAGGTTAAATTAAAAGGTACACTACAGGAGGCAAAAAACGTCTGTTTAATTTTTTGCCATTCCGGAAAGTGATAGCTAGCCAGAAAAATGTAACAGGAGGGTTTATTATGAAATTAATTTAATAATCATTTAATAATTTAGTTCACCAATAGTTAGCAAATACCTGTGTTATTAATTCACTGTAGCTAATAAGCTAATAATTTGTCACAAGCTTTTAAAGCCTCTCGAGCCTTAAATGGAAGGTGTGTTAGAATCACTCATCACAATCTGACTATGAAGATCGTTCAGATTCTGAGAGTGATCTAAATGAAGAGGTAGATTCATCTTAACCTTCCTCGAATATGTTCAAGTTGATCTTTTATTTCACGTATTTTTTGGGTATTGTAATGTATGCTAATGAAATTAAAACAAAAGACCAAGTTACCTGAGATAAAAGAATTGACTACACCGCTTACAGGTGTACATTCAGGCTCATTGTTCACACAGTTCCACATGTAGATAAGCTTTGAAATTAGTATCGTAACTTGTTAGAGATAAACATTTCTGATAGAATGATGAAGGGTTGGCCTCAACTAAAGGACAGAGAGGGAATCTTAGGGTGTTGGTTAGGACCTGAATTTTTAGAGGTTGTATTAAACGGAAATGTAATTTCCGAGACACGTGCTTGTTTTTTATCAATGGGCCATTTTACAGTTATGGATGGAAGCGAGGCTGAGGGTGACCTTGTTTTGATACAAACCTTCTTTGCTTTGTTATGGAAATTGTTCTTGACAAATACTAGTTAGCATAAGAATAACTTGATTTACATAATAAGGCAGGGAGGTTTGTATCAAAACAAGGTCACCCTCAGCCTCACTTCCATCCACAACTGTAAAATGGCCTATTGTTTGAAGTGCCACCAATTCCACGTATAACTTCCACAAACTAAGCAATGCAGAATATTGTAATAGCCATTGTGACGACGACCTCTCGCCAATCTCCCTCGACAAAGTCTGCTGTCGGATCTTAAGCTGCTTTTTCTCTCTTACCTTAACCTTAAATCATTAAGGTTCAATTTTTTCAATTTTTTTTTTCCAGGATAGTGAGTTCGTAGAGTACTTGGCCAAGCTGAGGGATGCAGTTAAAGTGACACAGATCCTGGAAATTGATGGCCCAGTGTCAGCTTCGAGAGTGGTCAAACAGTGTGACGAGATTTTAAATGAAACAGCTACAAGTATAAACACAGATATCAGAAATGACCGGCCAACGCAATTCCGCCCTTTGCCAGGGTCGTAACATGGTATATGGGCTCAGGGATCAAAGCCCAAAATATGACTGGGATCAGGGCTCAAAGGAAAGGGCTCAGGGCTCAGAAGAATGGGATCAGGGATCACAAGGCTTTTGAGCCCGAATCAGGGATCAGATTTATTACACGGTCTAAAAATCTCTTATCACAATATTTTTCCGCTTAATAAAGTTTGTGTCCATAGAGTTTCCTGGCCGAGGTAAAATACCTATTCTTGCTTCCGGCTGGCGGCAGTTCCTGTCATACGAAGTCCTGGTATCATGGTACCATATTCTTAATTTATTAATTGTTGAGGGCACCGTAACATGAATCTCAAGTCACTTTTCTCGCTTTGTGTAACGCAACTCCTCAGCGCGCTGTCAACGCCAGAGGGCAGAGAAAGCAATTTATACATATCTTTTTTTGCGAGAAATGGGGAAGAAGAAAAAGGGCAAAAAAAAATCCTGTGACAGAGAAAGGTACGTAAGTACTTCCTTGACTGATTTACTCCTGGCAAGGGTCCAAGCGTAGAGTTTTTCGGCCGATCAAACATAACAATACCACCAGGACAATAGACAAACCGATTCACTGAAAGCGGAAGATTTACTGTATAGGTCCAGATTGCCTCGTCGCCTCAGGCAAGTCACAAGGTGACTATAAATCGAGGTTCGTATTTTTTGACCAGTAACTTAACCCTTAAAAGTACTTAAATAATTAGAATGGACGTCAAAAGTAGAATACAAAAGTACAATGAATTCGCGCTCTTTGTTGCAAAATAAGTGCTTCTTGCAATTTAATAAATCTGCTCTAATTGCATGGAGTTTTAGGGTAATCTCGAACTCTGATGAGAAACCGAGATCGGTTCACCTACCAGTACTAGTATCGGGCCGGGAAAGTAAAGGACACATTCCATCTCTGTATAACTGATAAATGCTAGTATGATAAATAGTCTGAAATTACAGTGTAGAATTAGTGAAAATAAGTGGAACACCAAGACTTACCTCGGTGAAATAAAAGTAACAAGGCCTCTATAGTTTATTTTCTTTAGTTTTTTTTATATAAAATAAACGGTTGAATTGGTGAAAGGAATGTTGAATACTAGGTACAAGTAGCAGAGTCTGCAGGAATTTATATATTATAGCACTCAGCATGAAGGGCCACCAGTAAGGGGCCCACTATTTGATTTTTTAACCGAGGATGGGTTATTTTTTTCATGAAATATTTTTTCAGTTTTCATTCGTGCAGTCGCTGTTTTGTTTTGCATAAAATTTACAGACTTTTTCGGCCCTTTGGGCTATTCGGCCTCAGCTTATGTAATGGTTGGCCCCGAAAGGTAACACCACCTTAGATTTGGAGCTATGGAATTTTTTAGTGGAGTGAGAACACCCGCTCTGAACGACCACGCATCGCGGCGGCCCAGCTGCCTTTTACAATCAATAGAGAGGCTCTACCAATCCTCACACAGAGAAAGCTGGGTTCAAAGGCACCGGAATGGCTTGGAAAGTCGCACAGCAAGAGTAAACCTTAAGGAAGATATGGACGAGGAAATGAGCGCGGAGGGAAAGGAGCGACAAAGGAAGGCATTGCAGAGCTTTGCGAAAGAATTCGGATGGGGTGTATGACAGTAACGAACGAGAGGGAAGACCAAAGAAAGAGCTGGTACACTTCCACTTGCTCTGAGTATGTTCAGAAGGAATGCGTCGTCACATGGAGAAGTCAATTTGTTGAAAGAGGTTCAAGGGAGTGAAGGACAAACTACAGTTCAAGACGCAGCCGAAGAATATAAGATTATCTATTCAAAAGGCGACGTAGTTGGTCTCAAGTACAATTACAAGAGGTATATCATTCCTCTCCTCCTTGCATTTCTTTTAAAAGATCTCCACCATAACGGTGACGCATTCCTGGAAGATCACATGGGTTTGAGATGGCTGGAACCTGAAGTCAGAAGAAGATCCCTTGTATACCAGACTGGGCACCGTGACGATTCATCTAAGTGTATCATCAGGAAAGTTTAAATAATAAAAGATGGAAACAACTTCTGTTTGAGCTGCCTTGAAGAGCAACGCCTAGTTGCATGCATTGCTCCAGGGGTCAGTTGAATCAGATGATTCATCTGCGTCACTGAGGTGGTAACGGAGAGGAAGGAGAGCAAGCTTAGGCGGACAACTTTTCAGACTCAATTAGATTTGAACTAAGCTGGAAGGAGTAGGTCTGGAAAACCTACAACCAGATATGTCCCCTGACAATCCTCAATGGTTATTAAGCCAGGAAAATCCATTAATGGGCTTGACACAGAAAAGCTGTACAACCTTTGGCTTGCATCAGTTAATTTTTCTTGCTATTGGTAATTGATCGTGATCCTCACTGTAACACACACAGAGTGAAAGAGGAAATTAACATAAGATTACACTCTAACAACATCAATAGGGATAGCAGAATAGAAAGTCCAGTAGCTTAGTTGCCCTTAATCAAGAAACACAGCAATAGGAGATCCGTACGACAGCAGACCATTGAGGAAAAAACTCATGCAAACAACGGAGTAAGAAATGCACCAATCTCAGCAGCTAATAATCGACCGACCAGAACCAGAGCTTGGAGTCATATAAGTTCACGTGTGACCCCTCGACGAAGACTAGCAAGGCAAGGTCTTTAAGTTTTGCTTTTTCTAACACTTGAAGGAGGCAGATGAAACGTCGCGATCTACATCATTAAGTGACTCAATCGTGAGACAAACGATTACACTTTATTAACATCAATATTGTAGACCAGTAACGCGGCCGACGTGGGCAAGCAGATGTTCGTACTGGACAGGAATTGGAAAGCTAGAGGAAGACCTTAGTTCAGAAGTACCTTACAGTGACGTTAATTCAACCGGGGACCAACCAGCGCTCGCTGTGTTTGCTGTTTGACTGAAAATGTATTTATTCGAATTTTGAATCCAATTCTTTCTTGTGATTGGCTTTTTGACCTCCGGGTGGCCTAGCTCGTATGAGCAACACTGAAAATAAACCTTGTAAATACTCTTGATGAACGTTACATCTGAAAAAATCAAGTGTCTGCCACAGGATCTTTCAAGATGTACGATACTTAAAGGGAAGTAGACTGCTTTTAATGTATAAATTAAAAATAACTTACATTGTGTATCTTACTAAAGCTCCCGTTCAAGAAAATCAGGTTTTATCATTTGTCTAGTATCACCAAACATTATATTTAAAGTGTTTTAAACAGAATAATGCACAAAAAGAGGTTGACTCATATTGATCTTTAAAGCTCTGATAGAACCTACAACTTGCACTAAAAATTAAAGCTAATTTTTTTCTCATCAGCCCATTTGAGCATGTTTTATATTCTGTATTATGGAGATTTTTGTCTCAGTTAAAATTTTGTGTAAAAACATGGATGGGATCAATTTTTTAATCAGGGCTCAGGGGTCAAAATTTTGGGGAAAATGGGGCTCAGGGATCAAAATAACGGCAGGAAAATAGGGATCAATGGGTCCCGGATATACCATGTTACGACCCTGCTTTGCCAGTCATCAATTCCTTGAGGGAAGTGTCCTCACAGATGCTAGCATTTCAAGCTTCTCCGGACACTCCTGATGGAATAGCATGCAGTTCAGCACTGAATGCTGCCCGCCAAATTTGCTACTGGTCATCCCTTTTCATGACAATGATGGATGAACGCAATGTGGTTTATCCCATAACTACAATGCCTTCATCAACATCGGAACCATCAATGTCTTCTACATTGTCCTCCTCATCTTCTTCCGCATCAGTGTTATCTTCTATGATACTTCAACATCATCCAGTCATTCTCATTATCAAATGCTCCAACGTCATCTGTACTACAAGATCACCTTCCTTATTCCTCATCTCATCAGCAGTCTCCAAGTTCAGTTATAGATCATCAGCCTCCCATCTCCGTTTCTTTGCAGTTTGAGCAGAATTCCTTTCCTTGTTCTACAGTTTCCTCCAATGCTTCCTGCAGTGTCTCCATCGTACTATTCATTATTACCACCCTTGTCCTCTACATTATCTGGACAATTCCCAACAATGTATTCATTCTGTGGTCAACCTGCTCTTTCCTCATCCTCCTGTTTGCAATCTCAGTTTTCTCTTTACCTTCAACCTCTCTCAGTCACCTCTGCGCCCATACAAGTTACACCATCATTTTTCCAACAAGTTTCATCATTTTCAAGTGAACAAAAGCCTCCTTCCTCGTTCGCCTGCACACCAGCTGTCCACAGTTCTTTACCTACTGCCTGTCCGCCAGTCCATCAACATTATCCTTCTCCAGTCTCTCGTCAGTTACCTCTTTGCCAACCATCTTCGTCAAGTATGTCTCTGTCATTGTCTTCTACAACTGTTAACCAGCCTCCACGCGGACAAAGTACAATGCCACCACCCAGTTCTCTTATGGTAGTGGATCCTGCGTATGGTTTTCCTGGACAATTCTGCACGGTTTGGCTACATACCTTAAAAATTCCTAAAAATGTTGAAATTCTTGATCAAGTCAAGGAGATTTGGGAGGTTGGAGGTCCAAGTTGCCCACCATTAAAATATTGGACTGTACTAATGAGGAATTACAATTCAAGCGAAGGACAGAATACTTCCATGTACAGTCAACGTAAATTAATTTACACACTTTTCCGACACCAATGGGACATGCCACCATGTCCGTGTTAACTGGGTGTCCGTATTAAGTGCATTAATTTTAGAGAAAATAGATGAGCTTTCTCGTCATGACAAACGAAAGCGTCCGTTATATCCAGGCGTCTGTATTAAGCAGGTGTCCGTAGAGTGGGGTTCCACTGTACAACTACCTTGCTTTTTTTCCGTTTAATATAAAGTTTGTCATTCAATATTTTCATCGACAGATGAAATTTCATCATTTCCATTACAACACAACCATCTAAAGTCTCATTTGCAAGGAAGACTTCTTCAAATTGTGAAGGGTTTTCTTGAAGGGCTTTTAGTACATCTAGTGTAGCCAAACCTTTTGCAAAGTTATCCAGCACTGGTGTTCTTTTAATCGAAACATGATATGCCACAATTGCCTCGGCAAGCATGAACTTGTTTTCAATCTGAGGAATGTTGTAGAACATGTCACTGGTTATAGTAAAAGTAAAATATATTTGAGTAAACAGATTCATCTGCACTGGTAGGATAAGTTTTGTGCAAATTCTTGGTACAAGTATTCACAAGTTCTTAATAATAAAGAACTTTCAACTCTAATCGAGAGTTTTGATCACTATGATGAGATCACATGTGATTTGGTGTTAAATATTTCAAATGCGGTGTAATTTAATAGTAGTGTGGCGTAAATTAATGTGGTGTAAATTAAGAAAAGAGGACATGAAGCTTTACTTACAGACGCTATACAAGTCTTGCCACTTTCTTGAAGCAGTGAGGGAAATTGTTCTGCATTGTTGATTTCTTTAAAACCTTCATTTATTGAGGCTGACAGCAACTGATGGGATAATTCGAAAAACTTAGGTTGACTTACTGGGTTTATTGTAAGTTAAAAGCATTGAGTTTTTAGAAACGTGTTTTTTATGAAATAAAGTATTAATAATAATAAGGCTAGTGTGAATTAAACATAAGCTTATTTACATGTGTCTCAGTTCTTTCTATTACATGCCCGCGTCTAGCGAACTCGATTGTTGCAAACTCAGTATCAAAGGTTTTCTGACTATCTCTGCTTTTTTTTAGGCGTATCTTAAGCTTATATCGTCTGATCAAAAGACAGTCCGATTAAAGGATAGATAGATAGATGGCCTTTATTTTAAAACGATGAGTATTAAAGCTACATGAGCTTGTGGGGTCGGGAAAGTTGCATCACTGCAGAACGCTGTGTGGTTAACCATAGGAGAATGCTGTTAGTCTTTCTTTCTTTTGGGTATTGAAACGAAACTAATGAGATTTTTAGTATTTGTATTGTCATTGAAGGAAAATCCTTAGATACAATATCTTCTAACTGGAATTGAGTGCCGCAAAATGCCACAAGCTATTTCAAGGCTTCAAGCTGTACAAACGCACTTGGTGACCATTGTAATCTGATCTTTCATGCCATTTGAGCATCGCGCGTTAAAGACAGAGATGTACTTGTTTGATTTGCATGCAATACATGACAAATGATTTTTTAATCAAATCGTTTATAGAGTCACCGTGTGTACTGTGCGGTTTTAGGATGAATTTATGAATGGTTTTCGGTTGTAAATGCAAAAAACATTGGTATTGTGCTGGGCCCGGCTGGCATTTTGATTTCACATGAACTGATCAGATGCAAGTCTAAGGGAGTCCTAGGCAGTCTTGGGGAAGGACCATTATATCTTTGAGGGGATGGGTTGGGTAACCACCTGCACAGCAAAAATTGCAAAAAAACGTTGGAGCCACGGGTAAAAATCGAGCAAGTACTTTCCACTATGACTGTGATTTCTGATGGTTTAAGATACATTCTTGCACAAGCTCTTTGACATAAATGAAATCTTATACAACCTGAGGGTTAGAAAAATATTGCCTAACCCCCTCCCTTGCACAAAATTTAACGTTCCATCCATTAGACTCGCACTACTGAGTTTAGTTCGCCCCAGGGAAATATATATACATTATTTGCCAGCTGGGAGGTCTGTATAGTAAAAAACTGTGACCAAGAACTTGAAAATGCTGCCCAAGGCCGCAGGCTGAGGGCAGCATTTTCAAGCCCAAGGGCAAAGTTTTTCACTATACGGACTGACTCAAAGCCGGCTAATAACATGTTTATTTTTCCCTGTGGTAAATTGGCTTACAAATGGGATTGTTTAGGCAACTTTGCCATTAAATTGACTTGTGTGCCGTCTACAAACCATTCGTAAAAATATCTAACCAGCGAACGAGTGAGTATTAAACTCAGATACTAGACAAAGAAAGATGTATTAAAGAACAGACTTATTTCGAACTACTTTATGTTCGTTGCATTTATTTCAGCAATAAAGTTCTCCAAAACTGATTTTCTGGTGTGAAATTTGGTGCAAAGTTTGAAGTTGTACTACAAAAACAATTTCTATCAGTCATTGCGAATCACTTGAAATCAGACTTGTTTTTACCGTAAATTGAGTAGCAGAAATCAAGGAAATTTGTTAAGTGTATTCCACGGAAATTCTCTTAAATACAGCAACGATAGGAGAGAGAGTGAGTACAAATTGAACTGAATTTTGCCAACTTTCATGTCACAAGTCTAAAATTAGCTTGGTTAGACACTATTTGATTGGGGTTGGACTCAATCACACTTTTTTCTGTCTTCAGGAAAGAAAAATAGCTCCACTAAGTGCGAGTAGTCCCTTATTAGTGTGGGAATTGGATGATCGAAAATATCTCTCTTCCCTCCTTGCAGGAGGCATTTTCCATGCATGCTAGTGAGTGTTGTTTGCTCTGCTATCCCTGATGAAGAGACCACCTGCAGTCTAAGCATAGCATAGGCAAATGATCTCTTCATGATACTTTTTCACAATTGTGCATCAAGTACAGAAGTTGCTTGTGAAGTTCGAATTTTTACTCTGACTCTTTAGAAGGAATGAAGGTCTTCCCAGACTCCTTTGCACTGTTTGCTTTCACAAAATGGCGACTGTTTTGAAAACGCGGAGAATTCCAGGGTTTTTCAAGTTCGATTTTCTTAGAGATAAAGCACTTAGTCTAGTTTAACATACTAAATTTTGAGAATCATATCTTCAGCGGCAAAAATTTCTGATTTTTTTTTTATTATTATATTTTTAAGGGAAGAAACACAATACTTTGGAAATAACCTAGCCACTCCATTGTAGCGTCGGGTCTCAAGGGACTTAATGTAGGATAATTAGATGTGGAATGAGCGTTAAAACTCAAAGCAAAGAGGGACTTGATTTGCATATAAGACAGAGGTGAATGGACCAGTAGGAAGACTATTAATGGCATCAAGGGCGTATAATGTAACCGTTTATTGAGCTCGATTCACCACTATATGTTGGTGACGAGGAGTTCCTCTATTTCTTGGAAAATGGCTGGTTTTGATACTAACCTGAATTACGGAACATTTGACTGTGACATGGATCCGACTTCAGCAGGTTTGCGCTTCAGAAAATACGTGGAAAGATTTAAAGTTTACAGATTAGCAATGAACATAAAGGATAAAGGAAAACAGCCTTATTTTTACATTGTTCAGGACCGCAAGTACAGGACATTTTGACACCCTAGAAGACACCGGTGAGGATTTCGAAACCACCACTGATAAACTCATGGAATATTTTGAAGCAAGAAAACACCACCTTTTCAACATATACCAGTTTCTGCAGTTAACTCAAAAGAAAGAGGAGTCGTATGATGATTTCACTACTCGCCCGAAACAAGCAGTGGGTCCATGCGATTTTCCGATGGATTGGTGTGATGTGGAAATACAGCTGTGGTTAATAGAGAAAGGAGAATCGAGGCAGGTCAGACAACGACTGCTTAGCAAACCTCATACCTTAATGGAGGCCCTGGATTTCACAAGAGCCCTGGAAATGTATAAGCAAGCCGAAAGAATGATTTCACGTGTAGGAAGTTTCACGTCTTCCTGTATGACAAGTCATTCATAGTTGTCACTGATCACAAGCCCGTGGAGGTCATTTTAATACCCCGAGGCATGCAACGTCTATACGGTTGCAGAGACTGACTGAGTGAATGCTCGATTATGCGTTTAAGGTAGAATACACGCCAGGGAAGACCAACATCTCAGACTACATATCAAGGCACCCCCTTCCTCTCGAGCAGAGCCGTAAAAGGGTACTGGGCACGACTAATGATGTCGGGCATTGCGTGAATTTTGTAATTGAAAATGATATTCCAAAGGCGATAAGCTAGGAAGAAATAATTGTGATTTGCGTTTGCAACCTGATAACCTTAGTGCATCCAATGAGATGACAATTCACAGTCCACATAACGAGCCTGATGGTCCACCAACATCCCTAGGAGCAACGGAAACGGAGGGACATAAACAGCAGCCAGACGATACTGCAGTAAGCGGGCCAAGAAGATTAGCACATGCAAGAACATCTACTTGGAACACTATTTACAGGGACTTTCTGCTGGAGGCAGCACGTCTACATGTAAATCTTCATCAAAAAGAAAATTTGTACGGACCTGTCTGAAAGACTTTCCATTGCTCACATACAATGTTGAAGCAAACCAAATGTTCTGCAAATTGTGTAGAGACAATACAACTTGCAGTGACTCATCCTCTACCTTCGTGTCTGGCAGTCAGAACTTTAAAATAGAATCTGTGCAAAGCCACGAATCTTTAACTGGCCATACTCGTTGTGTTGCGGCTGCTAAAGTTCCTGGGAATCCACAGCTGGCCCATTTACCATGAGCTCTGTTGTCAATGTCAGAAGAAATCTCTCAGAAGATGGAAAGACTGTTCGATACAGCTTATTTTGTTTCCAAGAGGGAGATGCCATTTACAACCCTTCCCCATCTGCGAAAAACTGGAAATGAAACATGGAGTTGAGCTTGGAAACACCTATATAAATGACAAAGCATGCAAAACTTTTGTGTTGTCTATTGCAGGACAGTTAAAGCATGAGCTCTCAAGCAAGCTTCAGTCATCAAAGTTCATAAGTGTAATGGAAGATAGTGCATGTGATGTTGGAGTACGCAAAGTAGAAGATGTCTATGTATATCATTTGGTTAAAGGCGAAATAACAAATTCATTAGGGAGGCTGAAGGCTTATGAAAACAGCCAAGCACCTAGAATCAAAGTAGCTGTGGAGTCTGCCATGGGAGAGGTGTGCAGGGACTGGAAAGAGAAGAGAGTGTCCCTGGGAGCAGATGGAACAAATGTAATACTTGGAGAAAGAAATGGTGTTTATGGCTTGCTTAGACAAGAAATACCACACATTATTAAGGTACACTGCATTGCACATAGGTTGGAACTTTCATTTGCAGACACACTGTCAGAAGTTGCAGTTCTTAAAGATGTCAAGGAAATGCTTTAAGGTATTTGGAAGCGCTACCATTACTCTGCAAAGTTGGTTCGTGAGCTCAAAGAACTAGCTGAAAGCAAGGAAGTACGAGCATATAAAGCAGTCAAAGCAGATGGCACGAGGTGGGTACCTCATTTGCAAAGAGCATTGAACATTCTCTTGTCAAAGAACTTCCAAGTTGTAGTTTTACACTTCCAACATACCTCACAAGCCAGGGACGCCAGTGTGCAGATGCAAGGAAGGGCTGTGAATTACAGCAAAAAACTCACAAGCTACAAATTTGTTGCAGTTATGCACCTGTTGCTTGACATCGTAGATGCACTTTCTAAAGTGAGTCTTAGCTTCCAGGAGGATGGAATAACAATCTCAAGAGTTCAAGATAAGTTAACCACTCTTTCAGCTGCTCTTGAATCTTTCAAGATGAGGCCTGGTCGGCACCTGAACTATTTCCTCACAGAAGTAGGGAATGCTAACACATTTAAGGGTATAGAGCTTGAAAGGGATCCTGCAGACAGGCAGGCTATCAGTGCTATCCAGGCATCTGTGCTGCATGACATTCATCCAAGAGAGGTTTGAAGGGATGACAACAGATCCAGTTTTGTCAGCAGCAGCTGTCCTGACAAACCACCGAAGTTGGCCAGTTGCAGACAGGCATCTGCTGCTCTTACATGGAGAAACTGAAATTCACGACACTACATGGTCATTTTCAGGTACCTCTAGTACACCACAACTTTAGTCTACAGCACTGCCTTGATGAGTGGATGAGTCTAAAATTCCATGTCCAACGAGTTAGAGCAGAACTTGAGCTCAAGCAAAGTGACTTCTGGAAGAATAAATTGATGTTTTGTAAAGATGATTATCCAAACCCGCTAATTTTAGTCGAACTCTGTCTTGTAATTCCTTGCCAGACTGCCTGTTGTGAGCGGGGAAACTCTTGCATGAACAGAATCATGACTCACTGAAGGTCAAACTTGAATGTTTCCACTATTGATGAGTTGATGAGAATAGTTATCAGTGGACCTTCTCATGAGGACTATAGTGTAGTTCTTGCAGTTGGGTGCTGGTTGGACGAGTCAGAACGGAGCAGACGACCGACACTGAAGGACTAATCATCGAAGCCTTCAATGAAATTGATCATTTCAATTTCTTGCGATGTCAGGAAAGAACTTATAAACTGATTTATTATACTGTCTGTAGTGTCAGCACTACTACTATGCATCGTGCAGGTGCTGGCTGCTGGACTTTAAACTGCAGACCAGCACAAGTGCTGTTGGGTTCTTGTTTGTAGAGTTCAGTAAAATTTATTATTGTATTGTAACTAAACATACCAGACAAGATGCATTTAAATTATTTCTTATGTTGCAGTTTTTATTAATGTTTGATAACAACAGGATTTTTGACATTTTTTTATTTTATGGTGTACAGAAGTGCTTAAGACTAGTAGAAACACGTTTATGGCTAGTAAAGCCAAAGCATGTACTAGCCGTTTGACTATTAAGTTCAAAAGTTAAGTTCAAGACCTGGCTGACGTTCGATGAGAAGATTAATATTCTCCTTCTGGACATGGATTCACGTAAAGCATGCAACAAGTGGCCAAATAGAGTCCAAAAAAATGCATGTTTTGTAATCGATCACTCCCAACTGAAAAAATGA